AATATTTTGACGCTCTTGTTTCGCGGGTTTGTTTCTCCTTATATTACATGAAGCACAATTACGGCGGAAAACCGGAACGATACAGTGACAAATAGATATTTGTATTTATTTTAAAAAATTGATTTCTATTAATTCACTGCACTTTTTATTAATATGCTTATTTTTTCAGTTTATCTATTGAATACAAACATTTTGATCAGTAAATATTGTTAAAAATTGATATTTTATAATTTTCCGTTACGCTTCTCCGCACAACATATGCTCCATATAATATAAGGTAATCAAAACAGACGGAACGGAACGCGCGGAAACACAGAAATCTAGTAAAGTCTAGTTACTTTTGACTTCCGCGTTTCCGCGTTTCCTCGCTTCATGTCATATATATAATACTTCTATATTGCTAGTCGCGTATCTTCGCAATAAGAGGCACGAGGCCCGAGAAAGAGAAACGCACGAAGTCCAAATATGGGCATAGATAGTCGAGCGTCATTATGCGCAGGCGCGTTTACTAAGCGAGTGCGAGCGAGACAAAGAATTGGATAGTGAGAGAAAGAACGCGAGAAAGAGAAATGCGCAAGCGTGCTTGAATGTTCACCGCATGCGCACAAAGCAGCTGGACCTTGCGCGACAGAGAGGCTACTATAATGTCTGCACCGTAACATTTGGGCTTCAGGTCAGTACCGTACTAGCAATATAGAAGTATTATATATATGCTTCATGTACACAGCGCGTCATTGAATAGCGGAATTGCCGCGAGGATCGGGGGGCAAGCGGGGCGGTTGCTCGTAGCGCTAACGAGCGCCATACGAACTAACTAGTAGCAATCGGATGTCCACAACTACGTCGTGTCGATAATGTAACTGCTCTTCCTTCCTATTTTCTTCTCAAAACGTAAAACTATTGGCCATTTACTTAATATTTAACATTGACAAATAACATGTGTATATGTATATATGTGTTTATTAGATGGATCTATTAAGAGGATGCTGAACCGTCCTGTTTTATCATAAAAATAGTAAAATGTCTGAATAATGACTTTTGTCAAATGTACTGCACAAATAAGGAAACGGTTCTCTACAATAAAAGAAAACAGTGTAACAAGTCCCGCCAGATAATAAATGTTTATGAAACGAAACAATTTTTTTTAAGAAAATTGACTACCTTACATTATCAAGTATGTCTAGAGATTTAACAGTTTATATGTCACAAAACACACTTTGGCCCGCTAGATAAAACCTGTAAGAATATTACAAAAGTATTAAAAAACACCTTGAACGCTTGCAGGAAGAGAAAGTATTGAACCTGTAAATTGTAGACACAAAGGTTATTTTTCTTGTCAAAACATTGCACAAAGCACTACGTAGTTCCCAAACTTTGCACCAGAAGAAAAAGACATACGTCTATCATTGTCTTTTTTATGTCATCTATCCTTGTTTTTGTTTGACTCGATCCCGAGAGATGGCGCCAGCTACCCGACAGCGTAGCTGCTAAGTAGCATTTGTGGCAGACTTTCTTCGTCAGTTCAACATCCTCTTAAAGCCCATTCTACATTGATCGCAAGCGCAAACGCAAGATATAGATCTTGTAGAATTGACCAATCACGCTGGTCAATTGGCTGATTTGATAAATACGATTAGTCAATTCTACCAGACCTGTTCCTTGCGTTTGCGCTTGCGATCAATGTAGAATAGGCTTAAGGGGATCCTAAACTGACGGTCGAACTCCGTCGATTTACCGACTGAGTTTACAGCTTTTGGCGTCAGATTGTAGTAATATTCGCTTAATATAAAAAGTTATGCAGTTTGTACGTAGAAAACCAACTGCGTCCCGTTTTCGGAACAACATAAAGAACAATATAGAGCTCTCAGAAATGCGTTTAGAAGCCTAGTATGAATAAATAGCCTGCGTGAATATTTTCAGAACAATATTGGAATGCACACACTATTTATTCATCATTTCACGCACACTATTTATTTACGCTAACCTTCTAAAAACATTTCTGAGAGCTCTATATTGTTTTTTATGTTGTTCCGAAAACGGGACGCAGTTAGTTTTCTACGTACAAACTGCACAACTTTTTATAATAAAGAATTAGCACTACGATCTGACGCCATACGCCGTAAATTCAGTCGATAAAACAGATTCAGTTTAGGATCCCCTTAATGTCTCCGGTATATGGAAAGAACGTATATTGTAAAAGTCTCGTTTAAGAAAATATATATTTAATAATAATATTTATATGTAGCCACTAAATAAATTTAATTCTATTATATTATTATTACCTTGACGCCGGGCCCTTTTGGAGCAGACTTTACGCGGAACCGAGAAAAAATCGTGGAATTTCGGGCAATTGCGATATTTTAGAAAAACTGTTATAACTTTTGAACCACTTAAGAGGATGCTGAACAGCTGGCAAAAGTCCGCTCAGCTGCTACTCAACCGCTACGCTATCGGGTAGGTGGCGCCATCTCTCGGGACCGAATCAAACCAAAACAAGGATAGATGATATGAGAGAGCCAAGGATAGACATATGTTTCTTTCTGACGCTTCTGCTAAAATTGTACTAATTGTATTTCCCAGTTTTCTTGTCTCACAAGGCTTCAAAATCTTTTTTGAAGCACTCAAAATATTCGTCTATGTTTCTAGTTTGGGCTAAAGATATTTTTATTTGGATTTATATGGCCAATTTTGCATATAAAGTAAAAATGTAGTTTCTGTAAAAACAGTCTAAAAACTTTTTTTTGTTTTTCTTAAATTTTTATGCTTTATCCTATTCTTTACTATATTTTCTTTATTTCTGGAGAAGCATTTTTTATTCCGATTCATAGTTTTCACAAAAAAATGAAAATACGAAATGATGGTAAAACAGGACGGTTCAGCATCCTCTTAATATTTTTGAATTAAATTTTGAAGAAAAAAAGAGATTACTTTTTTGCATAAGAATTGATACTTTTTAACTTACAATTATTAGAAATTTTCAACTTTTTTATTTATAAAGTAAAACATTTGACAAACGCACTTGCGCGAAATTTAATATTATCAAAGTTAGTATTTGTGTATATGTATATTTTATTTATTTATTTATTTATAACATTAATCGTGAGTAATATTTATATATATAATATATACATATTGTATATATATATATATATATATATATATATATATATATATATGTATATATGCTAGAAAACAATCTATAAAAATAGAAATTCAAATTTTCCTTTGCAAAAACTGTTGAGAAGTGAGAAACTTTTCTGGAGAAACATATACGAGTTACGAAAACCTAGAGAAGACTGAAAGATGTGCTTATTTATTGCTCTAGCATATAAACATACATAACATTGTATGTGGCAAAGCGTCGAATTCTTATCTTATTTTGCTCTTACATAATCACAGTTCAAGTATCGGCAGCAGAGCAGGGCGTTGAAGTCGTATCTTATCGCTTTAACATATACAAGGTTTCAATGTGGATATCATTACAAAATAAAACAAGAAAATTAAAACATATTCAGTTATTCTAACTCGTAAAACATCTGTTGTAACGTTTCTGAAGAGAAATTGAAATTTATAGCGTTTTATCTACTTATTTTTGTGAAAAATCTAAATGACGCATATATGCGTTCCCCGGCGTCAAGGTGTTATTTTATTCTATTATATCTATATAGTATTGTGTATACAATTAAATATATATATATGTAAAAATCAAAACATTAAAAAATGAATAGGGCAAACCGTATATAAATAAGATGAAAAAGATATAAAAAATAAATATATTATAACAAATAGATATATGCCAACTGTAGAACGTTAGTTATTCAGAGAAACACTTACGGACACAGAAATCATACAGAAGAAATTAATTATATATACAGGGTCATCGAAAAGTATCAGATCCCTCTAACATCTTCAGTTAGGATGCATTTTGGAGAAAATGTCCAATAGCAAAGTTATATGATTTCAAGCGAGGAGTAAAATGATGACCTTTACTTTGATCTTGACCATGTCCTTTAAGGTCATTTCAAGATCAACCTTATTTTTTTAAATAAAATACCCTACAAAAATATTAAAGTTATGATTACTGAAAGATACATTTTTCATGTGAGTTTTTTTGAAGGACTTTGTTCTTTATATACGTGATGCAAAACTAGCATCCTATATGAATTTAAAGAAGTGAAATTTCAATTAAAAAACTCACATGAAAAATGTGAGTATGTTTATCCATATTTGTGCACATGTGTATACATATACACAGGCATATTTTCCGCACAACATCCTGCGAACGGCTCTTTACTGACAATTTACATTAATTTAATCTTAAAAAGATTACAGAGCCTGAGATAATTCTCATTTAATATATATAATAAAGTTTAACAGATCTCGATTATTCATGTTTGTCCAGAGAACGATAGAATGTCCTTTGAAAACTCAACCTCTAATATAGATAATAGACAAAGTAGATCCCAGTCAGAAATACCTTGTCGAATCGACGTCGATTCGACGTCGATTATACTAGTCGATCTACGGTTGATCGACGTCGATTTCTGACTGGGGATATCTTCTAGACATCCAGTGGTTATCCAGCGGACATTTATATTTTTTATATTACATAAAAATTCTAAATTACATTAAATTTTCTATATAATTAAAAGCAATCATGTATGCATAGTAAGTTTTCATAAAATACATGTATAATGATATCTTAAAATGTCCTGTAAAATATCCTGAGCCGTCTTGGGTATTGTCAGGATAATCCTAAGGACGTCTTGTGCTATATGGGTATACATCATATGATAATATGACATGTATATATCCGAGAAAAATAATAATTACATAACACAAAGTGCAAATGTCACGGTTTGACGTGTACATATCCGAGAAAAAAAAAATTACATACCACAAATTGCGCAGTTTGTGTCGTCATAAAAAAATATCTAGTTTTAATAGACTAAACAATTTGCATACTCCGATGATTTAAAACGCATTAAGATAATCGGCTTCTCTGCATATAAAGAATTTGTTACAGTCTTCTTTATATCGAGCTAGTATTCACACCAAGTAGAATCAGTTTCTTCATACAAGGTAATGTGTCACCCTTATAGAAATTTATTACTTATAATTTTACTAAACCAAATTGAGTAATGAATACTAGCCTATCATCCAGTGATAATTTGGCAAATTACTGAGAATTATTGGATAATTACTGAGGACTTATTACTGATAGTGAATTACTGAATAAATTAGTGTTACTGGTTGCATAGAAATTTGTTTGGAATTTATTCAGAAATCAGTTAGACTTTTTCAAAATATATTGGATTCGTCGTAAAAATTCTATATCGATTCCAATTGGAAGTGTAACGCTTTGCAAATTAAAATTTAAAAAAAGATTCTATCTAGAATCCAAGTGGAATTCTTTACTAAAAGAAAACAAATACCACATCGTCTTTTGGAAGGGGAATTACTTCGAGATTTCATTCAAATTAATCTTTGGAGGCCCGATTCATTTCGCCGATTAACCGATGAACTCTGTTGAAAAGGACAAGATCTGAAAAATCTTAAAAATTATAGTGGGATTTGAACTTGAGACCTCCATATTCACAGCCGCCTCACTCAATGTCAGTCCGCGAGATCACTTGTTTCTTATTAATTTTTTTTATTAATAAATTGTACTTATTTTTATCTACTTATTCTCAAGCTATCTTACACATTTCATTTTATTTATTTAAATTATTATTTTATTAAAAATATTGCAATATACCTGCAACAATACATAAAAATATTTCTTTATTATAAATGTGTCAGTAATTTTTGTTACAGCTAAATCATTGAGTCAATGATTCATCATAAAGCTCCAGTACTTGTTTAGTAATTTATTCTGCAGCCACGTTAGTGATTTCAATTTTTGAGTCAGTGATTTATCATTGAGTTTAAGTAATGGATCACATAGTTCCATCACTCAGCAACCCAGATAACCAAGACTGATTAAGCATATTCTGCAAAGTCTGCAAGAACACATTATGCTAGTACAATGTAGCCAGCATTCAAAGATAATCTGTTATTTCAACTAGTGTTGACAAACAGTGTTGAAAAACAAAAAAAAAAATGAAAATATAAATGTATCATGTTGTGATGCAAATATTATTGCATCAATCAAGCAGAACTTGTTCAAAAAATGTAGCAGATTTGAAGTATAATGTGCTATTGTCATTTCATTCTTCATTTATTTCTATATTTTTACTGTGTTGTTTTCTTTCACATATCGTGCCTACATAATTTACTCACTATGATGACACAGCTGAGTGGAATCTGCTGCAAAGTTTTGATTAAACCTGCGTGCATACTGCTGGCATACTGCTATCATTTGGCTATCGAGATATACATATATCAAAAATTTTTTACCGGGCATTGAATTAAAAAGCGAGCAATAACTGAATAGAGTTAAAAAAAGAGTTTGAAACTTGATGACTGTACAACACTTGATACATTACTGCGTTTATGGAAACAAAAACCAAAAATTAAAAAACATCATTATAGTCACATGTTGGATCTTAGATCTTGTCGGTAGTGTGTAAGAGATGAAAATAGAATTTCTATAATGACAGAGTGATTTTGCAAAAGAGAAACAAGAATATAATACAAACATAAAGATTATGTACAAAACAATTGGAGCAGTTCCACAATTATTAGACACATTTTGTTTCATGGATGACCGCGCATAATCATATAGTATACGTAACATGTATGTACTATAGATAAATGTACGCTTATGCATGAAATGGAAAGCATCTATATTATCTATTTCAACAAGATAAACTACACACGCACGATAATCCCGCACGCACATGTATATGTTTGCCTAGTGTGCTATATTTTCAACAAAATGTTGATACTTTTTACGTTACATCAACAATTTCAACATTAAATAAATTGCTAAGCAAAGAGCAAGATGAATCTTTGTATAGAAGACTCGTAACTTTTTTAGATTTATAGAATCCATTTTATTTAAATTTATAGGTCGTCAAGAAAGAATATAAATACTTACACTATTTTACAGTTTTTTATATTATCTTTGCAACATAAAATACAAATTGTAAAAATAATACAAAGAAAGTAAAATTGATATATTTATCTTGAAAAAAATCAATATATAACCACAAAACTCTTATTTTTAAAACTCTCAGAAATTTTTTACATTACCTAAAGAAGAGTTATTTTCTAAAATAAACATATAAAAAACTTATTTTCAGGGTTGTGGATTGCAGCTTTTTTTTACCTGCAATAGTCGTAACTATTTGGAGCTCTTTTATGGAAGTACAAAATCATCCCACACATATTAAAATTAATTAATATTACAAGAGTAAAATATATATCCAAGTTGCAGCAGTCTTCAATTTAATTGACAATTTAACATCGTAACGAGATGCAATCTAAAATATTAAGTGAAACATGTCAAATAGTAATTCGAAAATTCTTAGGAATTGTTTGTTTTTTATTGCTTGCTCCGTTTCTTATCACCATTTTGATGTTTTTATATATCTACCGTTGTTGGGTAGAAACTGTGCTAAGAATTCAACTTAAAGATAAATTTGCCGGTCTGTTGGAAGGCTCGGATGCTGTTTGGTGCGTCGAAAATACATCTGTACCCTTGATTACTGCCGTACTAATAGTGAAGAAAACCGCAGGAACTACAAATACGACCTTCCTGAAAAATATGAGAAAATTCTTTAATCACGTATTTAAGACTGCCCCCAAGAGTATCGAAAAACTGTTTAACTATAAATATCAAAAGTTTGGTTACTTTTATTGGGAAAAATCAAAAGAATTTAATCCAGAAACCGCGATTAGATGGTTGGAGTGTGAAATCAGTAATTGCGATGGATCTTGCGAGAATGTTCACAGTACAACTTTTCAAGAAAATCTAGGTTTTATATGCAACAGACCGTTGTATGATGATCACAAACCGATGTGGGAAATGCTCATTGGAAGACGTTGTTCCAAACCTTCATCTTATATGGAAGAAGATCCGAGCTTGTCTTCCGAAGACCGCTTCAATACCGACGTAGACGAAATTCCTGTAGTATTTCGCATTCATCATTCTCTTGGTGATGCTAAAGGTTTATTCAAGTTGCTTAATATGATTGTCGACGAGAATATCACAAATGAACTGTCGACAATATTGGAAGAACCCAAGGACAGCGCCTTGACAGCTAAAGAAAACTATTTTAAGGAGAAAGAAACTTTTCTAAAAAAAAAATTTATTTTAAACTTGAAAGAAGTATATAACACAATTAAAGAAATCATAAGAAAAGTAATACTTATATTGTTTTCTCTAGAAATCTGTGTCTCTCAAATTATTCGTAGTATGGATGGCAAAAGGTCAGTATTTAAATACGTCAATATTTAAATATCCGAAAACACATTTAAATAAAATAATATATTTTTAAATATAATTATATAAATTTTCAATATGCAAAATATGTAATGTTTAAAATCAAAGTTTTACATCTGTAAATACTAACTTCATGAAACTGATATTTATCAAATCGTATGTCATGATATTTAGATAAAATATTTTAAGATTTATAACATAATGAATTAATCTTGTAGCTTTCTTCATGGTCGGCCTTTAACAGGTGAGAAACTTATATTTTATCGTTTGGAAAACGATACCGATAAATCGCAGCTTCTAATAAAAATTAAAAAAATAAGACAGTGTACAGGAGCAAAAGTTAATGACATAATATTAACAGCTTTTGCTGCTGGGATGATTAAATATTATTTACGCGTAAGTATAATCAATACTAATTGTCTAAAATGAAGTCTTTATATGTAAAAGATTTCTTTACCCTGACGAAAATAAGAAGCTTTACAGAGCGTTAATAACCGTTTAATGAGAATTTTCTGAGAGTTTATACGCTTTATAACTTTATAAGAATGCTTATATAACGCCAAAAGATTTGAACTCTTTTGGAACGCTTATCAAACGCTATATATAATGTTTTCTAAACATTCTGCAATGATAAGGTAACGCTTTTCACAAAACGCTCAGTAAATACTGATAAATTTTCGTACAAAGAGTTTGCTGACAGACTTTTAAAACGGTTAGCAAATGCTTTTATGAGTAAGTAATAAAAAATATTAAAAACTACACATTAAAAATCAATTCATTTATTATAACTCAGTTTATTGTAAGAATAAGGAGACTATTGATATGTATTACATATATTTAATATATTAAATTATTTAATTATATTGAGATTAATTTTTTATGTAATAGTTTTATGTGATAGCTTTATGTAATTTAATATATATTACATTATTTAAT